CTTTCAAAAAAGGAAAAAATGGATGGTTCCAGATTTGGTCTGTAAAACCAGTAGAGTGCAGCACACTTGTACTGGGGATATCTGAGACTTCGAATCAATTCACCTGCAGAAAAACTACCTTTTGAGTTCACACCATTATTGAATAGCATCAAGCTGACACATTCCACAGCTTTCCACTGGGGAAGTAAGGGGGAGAGTTTACAAATGTGAAATTTTGGTTCGGATTAGTTTGACGCTGAACTTGCTTACTTGAAAAATCTGGTGCTATGCACGTATATATATATATGCCTTTCCTTTGTAAATACAACTCCAATCTTCTCCTTTACTATTCATATCCAGGTTTCACATTCTAACGGAGTCTTCTGTTCCCTAAATCACTTGAAAATTGTCAAATGAGAGAAACATTTGATAGGGGAGGCTATGGGCATTGGCAACAAACCTCCCTCCAAATAGGGTTCTGGGGTTCTATTCTGGTTTTTGGTACATGTTTTTCTTTCCCTTAGAGGAACAGCTTTTACTATTTGTGGAAGTTGTTTAACTTTTCTTTAACACACACTATATGTAGGAATTATAGCTGATGGATTTCAAATAGCGGACCAAAAAAAGTGAGGTAAAGCCCATCCTTTCTGGTTCAAACTCAGATGGAAAAGTGAGTATAATTTTTATCTCCTTCCCCCCACCCCACACACAGAGTTTTGTTTCTGCTTTTGGTTGGGTTCCCCCTCCCCACTTTTAATCCCTAGGGACTATTATTTGTACAAATTTAGTCTTTAAAACCCAGAACATGAATAGAAAGCGGTGAACACTGCTCGAAAGAAACAAAATCTAGATCATCCTTTAAAATAACTCTAAACTTTTCTTTGATTTTTCTCTCTGTTGAGGATACATTTTGAAGAATCATGGCCAATCGTGTTGGAGAGAAATACATTTTTGCTACATTATCTGTCTCTTGTTTTCTTACTCTTAGTTTTGTTTATATGTTTAATAGTGGAAAATAAACCATGCTGTGTCCTGGTATAACTTGTATACTATTTCCTCCCATGGTGTTTTGAATGTCATACATTTGTATTTTGTATCTTACTTTGATATTCAACCTTTTCCTCCTACTGCCAGATAAGGAATTATGCAGCCTGTTCATATTCTGATTTTTGTCTTTTTTTCCCCCTGATTTCTTTTTTTGGAGGATGCGGGGAGGGAGGGCATGCTTTAAAACTCTATAAAACTGTCAGCTTATTTTGTTTTAAGTTTTTTTAATATGTTTTTACATTTTTGGATATAGAGAAATGGCCCCAGAAGATGTTGGTTCAGCATTTTAGGTGATAAATACTTATTTTACTTTATGCTGCTAATTACTATGCTACTTTAGTGCAACTAGCAAGTGTTAGCCTGGTGTACAGAGAGGGCTATGATGTTTTCCTTCTGTAAGTATACGGTTAGAGGAGACCCGTTTGTATGGTAATGTGAGATGGCCCAGGTTTATTTTTATTTCTCCCACTAGAACTTGAAAGCTGCTCTTAGGCACTTTATTTCAGAGCACCAAGGGAAAGGGCAGGCTGCCTCTATGAGAGCCCTGGACCCCCTCCTCTGCTAGAGCTAGCCTGCTCTGCCCTTCCCGTTTGGATACGGTTTTCTTTCAGAATTGCCTTCACTTCTGCACGCCAGAAGGAACACCAGTCAGTTCTTAATATTCTCACACTTCCTCTCTTCTTCTTATCCCTTTATACTGGCCTCTTCCTCTGGCCTCAAAGCAAGTACACTTGCTGGCTGAATTATTTTTGTTTACAAAAATTAGCCATGCACAAATGACTACAGGAATTTGTCTCTTACACGAAAAGCCTGTGTCCCTGTGCTTATTCTCTGAGATGGTGACAGACTCTACTGATGATGTCTCTGCGGCCTGTCCCCGGTTGCTGTCATTTGCATGGCTCCCTCCTTTTGTCTGTATAGATTTTTTTCAGACATTGTCCTGTGATGAAACCACTGGAGCAACTGACAGAATTTTCTGTAAATGAAATTCTTCAGGTTTTGCCTGCTCAGCGCAGTGAACAGGGCCTGAAGACCCAAAGCGTGCCTTTAGCTGTGAAGGCAGCCTTAGGCCAGGATCCTGCTCGGCTCTAGTGACCCCTCTCATCGTGAGCCCTCCCTGCACCTTCCATGGCAACCAGTCCCAAAACACATTGCAAGTGGCACCTGGGGGTGGGGGAGGGGAGGGACCCTCCTACAAAAAAGGAATCCGACCCCAAGGGTATTCTTCGGCAAGGAAGGCCAGCCTGTTCTTCAAATGTATCTACCAGGCTGTGCCCTAAATACTAAATCCGGTTCCTGCCCCCTTTGGTACTCAATCTTTAAATAAATGATAATTAAGATATAAACAGTGTCATCAAAGGCCAAGCCTATAAATTTGATAAAAACATTTTTAGATCAATTGACGGAAGCAACCATTTTACCATGTAAACATTTAAAAAGAACACCATTTTTCAAAAGTTTGGAAGGAATCTTTTTTTTTTTTCTTGTAGTACTGTATAGAACTTTAACCCATTAAATCAGGGAGAGGTTCACATTTTTAGAAATTGGGCCCAAATCTGTCACCAGGGTCGTCAAGGAAATGCAACCTCCAGAGGGATGAAACCATCATCTGGGCAGCCGCTGGCCTCCAACTGAGATGCCCCAGTGGGACAGTTCATGCATCCTAAGGCTGAACGAGTGACCTGGGATTTGTCCCATGTGACTAGATAGGTCACTTTGCCTATCAAATGAGAGGATCATCTCACCATTACCTTGACATTTTAAGATGATCCTTCACCCTACAACAGCATAATTTTAATAAATTATAGATTTATAAACATATGACAAAAAATTTCATTTCCAAGCATAACAAATGGATCTTTTAAAAATTACATAAGGTTTCCATCTCCCTGAAGTCTCCTTTCTCCTCCCACCCCGGTGACTTCTTATTCATCCATCAAGACCCAGCTTTTATTTCACTTGATCCTTTCTGTCATAGTGTGATGTGATCAGACCTTCCTCTCTAAGCAAAGCGAAATGCCAGACATCCAGCAAACTGATCGGGAATGGGATGTTAGATCATTAGAGTTGACTTCAATCATGAAATGTCTGTCCAGCACTTTCTCATAACAAAATGTTTCACTGCCCAGTACTCCTCATCAGTCATTCTGGGGGAAAGCATCGGATCCCAGGCTATGAGGTGGCATTCCCTGAGGCTAGCTGGAATTGGCTGCAGATGCGCAGTTTGGCATTGGGATGGCCCTTCTGTCTCATTCTGCCCTCCTGTTCTTGGGTCATGCCACATGGAGAGCGGCCAATGCAGCAGCAGCAGTGAGGATAACTAAGAATATGGAATGACTATGTTTCCGTAGTCGTCTTCTCGAGCATTCTGACCAAGTGACCTAGATAGAGATGAACTCATCCATGTTTGCAAAATAAAATACCACTGGGACTCATAATTTATTGAAATTTAATAGAAGTCATTTCCAAAGAATGTGAATCCTGGGTCAGGGAGGCCATTAATCAGCCCATCTTAAGCGATGGATTATGGACTGAAGTATTTTGAATATAGCCCTTCAACACCAAAAAAAAATTTTTACATCGCATCTGTCCTGCTATCTTCTAGTCTTCAATGAATCCTCTCATAATTAAAGCTGTATTTACCATCATAATATAATCACCTGAGCTCCTTCTGCTCTGAAACCAGGGACATAGCACTGTTTCATTTCGAATGTGTCCCTTAATGTCAGCAAGCAGTGGTGTTTAATATACAAGCACTTCAAATTTCCACATGCAAGGTTTAAATAGCCACACAATTTTTAAAAACACAAAAGTCCTTTACACTAACTATTGGAAGCAGTAATATTCTCTATCTCACCATGTTGTCATCATGTTAAGCATTTTTGGAATTTCTCCGCTGTAATTGCCTGGAGATCCACTTGTAAGCCGCACAGGAAATCAGTCATCTTGCTTTATAATCCTATCTCTAGGTTGACACACAAAAATAATATTACCCCACTGGATCTCTTACTTTATAAACCAGACTTGGCTCTGCTGATTTTGGACTCTTTTTAAAATTACTCCTTTTCTTACTAGTAGCGGCTGTCACTGTTAGGCAAGAATATGCTGGAGGAGCAGAGACAGGAGAGCTTTGTATGAGTGTCTAATCCCTCAAGGTGACCACTTGGCAGAGACAATACTAACTTGGATTTTCTAGTAAGTACATATGTTTAAATAGCCCTTAGAGTAGTTTTCCTTCCCTAATATCCCCCCTACTTCCAATTCAAGGGCGATGTATAAATTTTAATTTCTTGGGCTACTTATTTTAATTTCAGTTTTCAGAAATGCAGCTATAAGAGCTAAGGTAGTCCTTTTAAGCTATAAAATACTGGTACACATTTTACTGGACTATGATGTGTAATGATAATTGATTCCTGTTATACTTTTTTTTTTCCTATAGTCTTAGTTCCGTAAACCCACCAATAACTGGACCTGTAATGTTTATAAACCTGATTAAAAAAAAAAAACAAACTCATGTTTTAAACAGAAAAAGAGGGGACAGCAAATTGCAGCGTGTGCTTGGGCCAGGGGCCAGGGGGTGCAGTGCAGACCACATCTGCATCTTTGGATCAGCAGCCCTTCAGGAATGATCAGGGACTGTGGGCATGGGTGACTGCACCTGCCCTCACCCCCAAGTTATCTCAGGAAACCCTCTAGCTTCAGAGGTCCTTCTACTGGCCTCCACATGATAGCTGCCAACATCAGTCAGCGGTAGGAACTCTATCCCTCCAGAGGTGAGGTTCTTAATCCACAACGAGCTGCTGGTGTTTCCAAAGATAATGTTCAGTCCCAGATGACATTCCCATTAGAGGTTGTTGGCCACTCCGGTCACTCTCCTGGACCATGTTCATTCTTTCATTAATGTAACAACAAGTGCAGTAGCTTCTGGCATGGTTTTCTGATCCATGTCCATTATGAGCAACAGTGACTCTGACTCAGACAGATACAGGACAGGAAATGATTCGATCTTCTAACATCACGCTGATTATCAGGAATACAAAGTAAAGGAGGAACATTGTGAAGCCCAGGATCTTGTTCATTCTCCATTTGCACGATGCAATTGAAGAGATCACAAACAAGAGCATGAGAAAAAGCAAAACAATTGCACAAAACAAGCCATTGCTGCTGACTGGAACAGGCTGTAATTCATTGATGAAAGAGAAGAGCAACCAAGGGACAGGCAGGCTGCAAGATTGAAGAAACAATGTGAATATTCTTAATTTATAATATAATAATCCTACATACATATAATAATCCCACATAAACAGTATTTTACAATTTATAAAGCACTTATTTTTACACACACACACACACACACACACAAAGCCTATGAAATAGAACAGAAAATATTAGCCCCATTTCACAGATGAGGAAACTTAAGTTCAGGGAAGTTGAAATTACATGCCCAAGGACTCACAGCTAATAACTAGAAGACCCTAGATTAAAACTGAAATTTTCTGGATCCAGGTGGGGTTTTTTTCTCCATAATTCATGATGTGCCTATGAGGAACCCAGATGGATTGATGTTTGACTCTCTAATCTCACAATTTTTATGGTAAGTCCTATCTCAGGCTAACATGTCTTTAAATTCTTCAGTGATCAGGGCTATCCCGTGCTCCACACCTCCCCACCATACACACACACATACACAAATTCAAATTAAAGAAACCAAAGCCATGACCCAAATCCGGGATACGCCTGCGGAAATGAAAATAGCCCAGAGGTTCTGCTCCAACAAGTTGGGATGAGGGGGTGAGAGAAGGGGGTACAGGAGGATGCTGCATTTGCTTGTTTAGACAAAATGCTTTTAGAGCCTCAGAGCTGGCAGGAGCCCAAATGTAAGGGAGCAGAAATACCAGGAAGTGCAACTGAGTCACTTCTCCCTCCAACCCCACTTCCACCACCTTAGAGGTCAGTGAGTAGAGCATTTGACTGTATTTGGTAATGAATTTGATGGACTTTGTTTTTCAATTCATCTATAAATTCTACTCGGTTACATTTCAGGCAGCATTTTTGCCCTATTATCCCATCTGGCTGTGACGAATGAAGGGAGGACCTTTGCTGCCTCGTAGACACTAATAATATAAATGCCCTTTTAGTCCATGTATAAATAATGAAGCAGAAAACCAGCAAACAGAGCCAACACAGTGTTTTCCAGTCATACTTGATATGCCTTGGAAAGCAACTTTGCCACTCACCCCACGGTGATATCAAATATATTACTGCCCACAGAGCTTGACACAGCCATGTCTCCCAGGCCTTTCCGAGCAACAATCACACTGGTGATGAGGTCAGGAATGGACGTGCCTGCCGCTAGGATCGTCAAGCCCATTATCTCTTCAGAAATCCCTACTGTTTCACCAACCTGGTAAAAAGTTACAGTGATAAGAAACCATGGCAACAGCAAGGGGAAAATCTGAGGCTCTTCAAAGCACCAACCACATGCTATTTTGTGCAAACCCAACCCCTTTCCACAGAGCTCAGCACACTCCTTTAGCCTGGGAGAGATGAGCCACACAGAGGAAGAGCAGGGCCCCTACTCCAGGCTTCAGGGAATGACGCAGCTCTTGTCTAAATTGGACAAGTCTATCTTTAATACCACCTCTCACTGTCATTCCAACTACAACACCTCCACCTTCCCAAAAGAACTGCCCCTCCAAAGATTTGTTCACGTCATGTTTCCATTTCCAGAACCACGGACGCCTGCTATGTGCCAGGAACTAAGTTAGAGGCCAGAGATAGAAGTACGAGCCCACAACACTGACCCTACTCCCAGCCTAGTGAAAGAGAAAAACTTGTAACCAGCAATCCCAGGCAGAACAGAAAAGCCATGAGCACTCAGAGGAAGACTGAGTAAATGCCCGAAAGAAGGCAAAACTGAGCTTGCTCTCATGAGTGTGCACAACGTCACCAGGTGTCAGGCATGCGTGACAGAGAAAGCTCAGAATAAGGCTAATAAGCAATGGTCAGCTGGGTCAGACTGTGAAGGGCCTTCTATGTCAGGCTGCAGCATGACTGTAAGACAAGACCCACACTTGAAAATACTATACTCACTGAAATGAAAAGTCAACTTTTGAGCCTTTACAAACAATGTAGAAACTACAAATTCACTTGAGCCTCACCATTGCCTGGGTACTGGACATTCACCCTGAAGGAAAAAAAAGTGTCCCTGGGACCCGCTGATGCAGGATTTAGTTCACTCACCTGGTGAGCCCACCATACCATGAGGTATGAGAACATGGCTATCCACATGATGGATCCCAGGAAGGTGAGAACAAAAAACTTCTTAGACTCCTGTTTGCAAGTTTGAAAAGGAAGAGAAATAAGTTGCAGAGGCTAAAGGTCTTTGACCCTTCCGAGGGAGCCCCAGAATCAGTGACAGGACCTGCTAGGGGAGTGATGGAGAGGATCTGGAGAGGGGTCAGCTGAGATCTGGATCTCCAGTGAAGACCTGGAGGAGGCTGGGGAAGGAAGGAGTTGGCGGCCCGCAGGGAGTCCGGCCAGCAGGGCATTCAGCAGTCACCAAACTGAAGAGAACTATTTGCTTGCCCTAGAATCAGACTGGTCTAGGTGTTTGGTGTGGTATCTACAACCTCCTGCTGCTCTACGCACCTCTGGACCTTGAGGTAGAGTATGGATGGCCTTTGGGTAGAGCATGTTAGTCAGAGCTTTCCCTATAAATGAGAATGCTGGGGAGAAATAATACTTTCCCCCTATGTTTTCAGAATAACCCTGTGACATATGGAGGGGCGGGGGGGAGCTTGGCATTATTCCCATATTAAAATCAAGAAACTGACAATAGGTGTTGAGGTACTAGTTCACACGCTTATAGTGATGGAAATAAGCACATTTTAGGGCCTCCCACGCCTACCGGGACGTCCCTCTAGGCATGTGGTCCCTTCTGGAGCTGCAAGGTGCATCCCGGATAGTCTCTGGTTGAGCCCTGCCAAGCCAGTTTGCCCTGTCCTCTCACCTCTTGTGTGAGAGTGCCTAGAGACTCCACAGACTCCCTGGGGCACAGCTGGCCACACTCACCAGCCTCCGGACGTCGGGCACGGTCAGCCACAGTGGGAACACAATGGGCAGGAGGAACAGGTAAATGGCCTGCTTCTGCCTGGTCTTGGGCCACTCCAGGGACAAAGGCTCCTCATTTGCCTCCTCGTCTTCCTCCTCCTCCTCCTCCGCCTCGTCTTCCTCCTCGTCTTCCTCCTCGTCTTCCTCCTCTTCATCTTCACTTCCACCTCCTTTACCTCCCCCTTCACCATCTCTACTTTTCTCATCACTTTTGGCTTCACCCTGACTTTCAGCACTGAGTTCCTGCTCTTCATTTTCACCCTCATCAGCTTTCATTTCATCATCTGCTTGGAGCTCACCTCCACCTTCATCAGTTACTTTTCCTTCTGCTAGGAGTTCATCTTCACTATCATATTCATCGGCGCCTTTTCCTTCTTCGATTTCACCTTCAGGTTCACCTTCTCCTTCTTCCACTTCGATTTCACTTTCATGTTCACCTTCTCCTTCTGCTTCAATTTCACCTTCATGTTCACTTTCTCCTCCTTCTGCTTCGATTTCACCTTCATGTTCACTTTCTCCTCCTTCTGCTTCGATTTCACCTTCATGTTC